GAGAACTTGATGAGCTCGTGCTAAGCTTGCAACTCATGCCACGTGAACAGCCTTGGCCATTGCAAGAGGTCGGACCATGCAGGGACTTTTACGGCTTCGCAAACCCGCCATTGATGTTGCACCTCTAGTATCGTTAGCCGCTATTAAGCTTTTTTCCGGAAAATTTTAGAGCGACCCCTTTGACAAGGGTTACCCCCAATTATGCGAAGCTCGCGGCCCGGGGATGAGAGGGGGCAGGGGCGGGAGCCAAAAACTAACAATAGTTTTGAATAAGAAACTCCGGAATTTTATAACTTCCTTTCAGAAATTCATTGCCAAACAGGCCCTGCCCTCGTTCGCGTTTAGAAAACTGTTTCGGTTACCCGCATTAGTCCGCAGCCCCCCTGTCCAGGGAGCCAAAAAAGCCTGGAAAGCTTCTTAGACCCTCAAGCTTCAAGGCTTCCCCCCTCTCAACCCTCGACGCCTACCCGCCCTAACCCCAGCCCGCGTCTCGGCTTATAGAGGACACGCGAAAACCCCAAAATTGTTGGGGGGGCGACCCCTGGACACTAAAGCGAGTACAACATTGCCAGCTACCGGTATCTATCTGAGAAGCAAACCAATGAGAAATATTGGGACACTCTCTCTTCAAGCCATTTGCGCCGTTTTCGGGGCCCTGGCCCGCACTGTGGCTCCTCGAAGCCATGGAGGTTGTGGACTCGAGCATCCCCCTGAGCCAATAAACGGACAAAGACGAACAAAATTTGCACTAAGCTCACCCAGGCTCAAGCTAGAATCTCAAGTAGCTTCGGATGGCAAATTGGGGATGGGAATGGAGGGAGCGTAGTAGCGTAGCCAAGCCTCTCACTTTCTCGACTACACTGACATGGTCGTGGCGAGCTCGTAGCTACCGTACTTGCTCCAGGAAGGGTTGGGAAGGTTCTAAGTATCTCGACCGCAAGTGGGGCGGCAATGTCGTGGGGTGGCAGCCAAGGGGTGCCCGGCGTCAGCGCGCGTGCGTTCTATGCATGTTCTAGTTTGGAACGGTGTTCAATCGTTCCACATCTTCTGAACTTGGCTCGAGTACTAGACGAAGGATTCCGTCCAGCTCGAAAGAGGGCAAGTGCTCTTCGTTTGCAAACCAATCATGTATGTGAAGGACGCGGGGCTTATGGACAACAATCCAACACTTTTTGTCATTCGTCGTGGATGTTGAAACCATTCGGGTGTGTCATGACATTGACATTGCTACTCTCTCCCCGCTTCCGCTACACCGCCTGCTCGTCCACGAATTGCACGCCAGTCGGCTTCCAAGCAGCAGGTGCTGGCAGCACCTTGTTATGTTGCCTTGCAGGGATCTATCATAGACTGGCTCTGGACGCCTACAGCGGGATCAGGGGGATCCAGCAATGCCAGAGTGACACAGTAGCCTGTTGTGCCACTGCACATCGCAGACAAGCTTTGCCTTCTGCTCTGAGAAAGCTTCAGCAGCAACTCGGACGCTTCCTGAACCTCACCACAAGTAGCCAGTCCAGTTCAGCTTGAACCTGAATTTAGGGTGCTGAGACATTGGCTGAGGGTAGCTGCAAGCCCGGTCGAACACTTCGCAGCCATTGAAGCCACGCCTGAACACGTCCTGCCTCTGTTGCCTTTTTGTTTGCTTATGATGCGCGTGTCCTATGTACAATCCCGCCTCAGCCTCGAAGTCTGCCCCCTTTGTGTGGGCATACCTGCCACTGCGGAAGGTGCTGACAGGCCGCGTGCTCTCGAAATGTGCTGTTAAGGGCAGTTGAAAGGGCTTTCTACACTACCCTGATGCTCATCTGCCACGCGGAGTGGGCACAGGTTGGGAAGTAGTCTCTGCACGCACCTCACATGGAGATTGTCCAGTTTCTCAATGTATGACGTGCAAACTCCAGATGCGGCCTTCTCTGTGCCACCCATTCTGAGGATCTCACTTCAAAGTGAGCTGTCGCTTCTCCTTTGTGAAAGAACTGATGGCACTGGGGGAAACCTCACAGTGTCGACCAGCTGCCACATCGACAGCAAAGCTACTTTGTGGGCACTCTTGCATCGGAATCTAACCGATCAGTGTGTCAGCCTTGCCACGCAGGCGTCTCTTTGGACTTGGAGGCAGCACCATTGCAACAACTAGATTTGATCCTTGAGATTTGTGTGCACATGATCAGGCTGAAGCAAAGCAGCTTGCCTAACCGACATCCCTGCTACACCGACCACAACTTCACAAATGGTGATGCTAGCGTCAATCAATCAATCAACCAATGAATCAATGCTCTTTTTCAAAGCCCGATCCCACGCATGTGCGGGTTGCAGTGGTGCAAAGCAATGCTTTGTCCACACGAATGCAGCCTGCTTCGTTGGTGAGACGACTTCAGAAGTTGATGGCAACGTTGCGTGGCGATCAACTCATGAATTACGCGGCTAGGCATTGCGACTTGAAAGCTGAACATGTGGGCATAGCAGTGTGAGTAGTGCGACAAGCTGCATTGTGCGGCAACGACGAACTGCTCCAAGTAGGAATGGCGAATGCAGGCAACGTGCAAAAATCAACGAGGTCACGGCCGTTCACACTGCGCTACACTTGGAGCACTGGATCCCTCTTCGAGGAGTCGCGGTGTTAGTGATTGAGCCGTGCCAGCTGTCCGAGAGCGGAACGGCAACTGCGAGAGTATGCTTTGATATATGGGGTGGTAAGACAGGATGCAGTAAACGCATGTAAACGCTATGCAAAGACAAGTCTTGCATCTTATCGGTCTTAGCGACGGACAGCGATGGCTAACCGCAGCACCCTGACCAAACCAAGCCAGCTTGTGATGCCAGAGGGCTGCGTTGTCTAGAACACACATGAGCCGCACGCTCAAATCGTCGGCTCCAGTTCCAGATGTGCCTGGCTTTTGAGATGCAAAGAACATTCAAGGCTACCTGCCTGCCGGGCCTAGCTGGGAAGTTGCATGTTCACAGCATGACTGCCTCCTCGGCAACGTCTTCCACGTTTGTCTCTGCCTCGGCGATATCTTCGACCTAGGATCCGTGTCAAGTACTTGTGCCGTCAAGACATCGCCGGTGATTGGACTGTTGACTGTGACCGGCGCTTTCTTCACGTCGCCGAATGTGTTGTCCTTGACGACAATTTCTTCATGCTGGCCCTCGTTGCCTTCACGCGAGTCTACGTGAGTCTTAGCTGGCTGTCCCGGCCCATTCCCACACTGGTGTGAGGAAAACAAGTATGCGTTCAAGCAAGTCTGAGGGGCTGGCGGACTGCCGAATCCACACTGCAGCAATCACCCTGAGCAGGCCACGGACAGCCATGGGTATGGCGACAAAGCCAGAAACACGTGAGACAGGTAGATCACTTGTGCCAATGTGTCGAACTAACCAAGCGTCGACGAAGCAGGAAAACCAGCTTGACAAAGCACCTGCATCTCAAGCAGCTAAGCTAGCCCGCTAGCAATGCAAACAATGGGGCAGTGGAGGCCTTCCTTTTCCGTTGGCTTGGACGTGGTATACTTGGTGCTCTTTGCAGCAGGCTTTGTTGTGCTCCGAGGGCACCCCGTCAAGTGCTGGTCACCTGGCTGCAGCTGGAGGCAGACAAAACGATCCACTCACAGCCACTAGGTCACTAGGTCAGTCCGGCATTGCATCGGCTTAACAACTTCTCGGACATCTCAGCAAGAGGCCAATTCCAGTGACCATCGCGGCTGATCCCCGCAATCCGCAGTATTTGCACACCTTGGTTGGGCAATTTTATTAAATGTTATGAACTAGGTGAGTCCTAGGTCTGAAGTTGAAGACAAAGCACTGCAACCTTTGGTGAGTCGGCTGTAGCTGGTCGGAACCTTGTAGGACATGTATTCACTGGCATGATCCGCCAAACAACTTCTTGGAACCAGCGATGTGCTCTAAAGGACAAACATGTGGGCCCAGCCTCTGGCAGAGTCGTGCATGGTGAGGTCCATTAGAAGTGACCATGGACACTTCTCCCACGAAGCCGCAGAACTTGCACTCTCCAGCCTCGCAGGATTGCTGCCCGCGTCGCGATAGCTGGCGGGGCCCAGCAGCTGGTTCAACAGCTTGAACATCATGCGCACACACATGCAGCAGTTGGCACTCTGAAAGCGGTTCAGAGAGAGGTCATGACGATTTAGCGTGGCTCCTGGGAGACCCTTTGAATCCCTCGAAGTGCATCTGAGAAGCATCACTGTATGAATACCGCGGGC